GTTCTACTCTATAAAGCCCTTATTTCAGGAGCGCAATTAGGCATTGCTCTTTGTTTATGAGATTTAATTTATAAATATCGATACTGACAGTACTCGTTTCATGCACACACAGCTTAAACTGTATAATCAGCCATCTGTAGAATTGTACATTCAGCTCAGAGCTGTTAGTCTCAAGCTGATCAGTGAAGTTGATGACCGATATGAACAAACTTGGGCCTCATTGTACATAAGAGATTTTCAGAAGATTCTCAGTCATCCAGGTCATAATCATTCCAAAAAAGTTAAAAAATAAACCACTAGACTTTTGTTTTTTAACTTTTTAACTTTTTTCGAATACATGAGGGCTTATTAAGCACCAATAAAAACTGGATTCCAAAAGTAAAAAGATAAAGGGACTGAAAAACGCCTACAATTAAAAATGTTTAAATTCTTCAATTATGTGATTAGCCTTGAGTTTAAAGCTTCAATATTTTAATATTTTAATATTTTATGATAAGGAAGAAGGATATTATGATAAATACTTCAATAATTTTGACAGAATTTTAAATGTATTTTATGTATTCTTTACGTGGTAAAAACATCATATATGTTGTATTGGAACTAAATATTTATGAAACTAAATTTTCATAAGGCCGTATTTATTTTATATAAAAAAAATTTTGCCATCTCTTCTTATGTAATGATTTGTGAGGCATCTTATTGCAGTGGCAGGGCATGGCCATTTTTACAATCGAAAGCACCAGAATGTTTGTTATTTAGGTCAAATTTCTAAATCCCCTGCTTAACTTTTTTAATCAAAACAAAGGGCAATTTATGCTCTAGTCATAAGCTTTTTACCATAAATGACTCCCGGTTGCTGTTTGTAGAGTTATTTAAACGATATTCTTTGTTTACTTGATTGTCTATATTTCCAACACTGGAGAGGAAACTGAAGCAGAAGGTCAATTTATTTATTACCAGAGCCTAATTTAATACATTCAGTTCATCCCCTCCACTGAGAGCTTTCAGTCCTAACATTAGTGTTTAATAAGCCTAAACATAAGGTCAGCCGATTCGATATTACTTCATTAAATTCTCGATTTGTAGACCGACTTCTGGTGTGTAATTGGTATGGATTGTAAAAACGGCAGCAGTTTGCCCCTGTACAATAATACTCTCGGATGATTCTGGCTGAATATTTTCTCGTGTTGTTATTCATGGAAGAACTGGTGGAGTTCATTTAAATTGGTTGGTTTTCAGAAACAAATAAAATTTTCTATGATTAAAACTGGGGCCATCCCAGAAGACCGATTTGAACCAGCTTTGTTTTATGTATTGAATCATATCCAGCTGGATTATCACCTTCGGTCAAAATTAAATTGTGTAGGATGATCAAAAATAAACTAGAAGCAATAGAGGTTGACTGGAAGTTTCTGTAAGACCAGTATCATTGTCAACACTAAACACAGTTTAATACCCTCAAGGGCTGAAGAATGGCGACCAGCACAGAAGAAGTGGTTGCTCTAATATTGGACCAATCAAGCTTGATTGAAATTTCCAGGTAAAAACCAAGTGTCTTCCGGTGAAAGGTTTAACTTTCAGATAAGATACAGGCTTTGCTTTTTGGCTGTGATGACAGAAGATTTCAAACCTAAGAACACTGCAATAGCTGTTGAGTATGATAGTGTTAGTATCATGCTGAAAACTTGCCAGATGCACTGTTAAATTACACAAACTGAATCCACTACTGGGGAAAGAACAATCCCAGAAATTATTTTTAATCATCATCTAGGTAATTGAAATTTTGCAATGTTGGGTAGCACAACACGGAAATTCCTCCAAATACACAACAGAACTGGTAATGAAGTAACTTCTGAAATTATTCCAACATCAAGCATATTAAAAATATGATCAACACTATAGCCGAGTGACAGGAAAAACCACACAAGTTTAAATGAGTTCTACATATTCACCCAACAAGAGTTGTATGATGTCCGGTCAAAATTACGTCAGACCTTGTTGTTAGCAACAGAAACTAGGTAGTTTATCTGCACCTGTCTAAATAATGAAATATAAATACACAATGAATGGACAAGATAAAACAAAGGATGTATCTTTCATTATCTTTCTGGGCATGCATAAGAATGCTTAGCAAGATGGGTTGGCACTAATGTTGCATCAGGAAAATATGTAATTATCTATAATTGAGGTTTATTGTTTCTATTGGATGAATTATGACAGCCAGGAGCTGGCTGGATAGACTAAAACTACTTGAATCATTATAAGACACATCAGTAAACAGACTCCTCCGTCGAGTTCAACAGTTCTCATAAAATATAGTGTTTAACATGCATCAGTGTGTGGGAAGCAATGCATAAAACTTCACAATAAGTGCTTAACAGCTCAAGCTGATAAACTCGATCTAGATCGGTAAAGATATAATAAAAGTGTAATGGTTAAGATAAATCATACTGCCCCACATTCAAAAAAAGGAAGCAGCCAAGGGTATGGATCATGTATGTTGTTCATTAAGATAACTTATGCTTCCTTGTGTTCTCTCCCCTCTACTGATTTGGAAACCATTCTCCTTCTGCCAGCATGAAGGACATTTCAGTCATTTTGTGTTTATGCTATAAAAATATATGTATGTAGCTGAAATTCTACACACTTGGACAAAATTCTTAGTACTCCCCGCTTAGTGGCAAAAAAAACATCTATGGTTGAAATAAAGTCTCGCCAATCTCACAAAAGTAATAATAAATAAATATTTATGAAAATAAACAAATGGAAGTAGACATTGCTTTTCAACCATAGATGTAAAAAACATTATTTTACGCCTGAACTAAATGATGGTACCCTTAACTTACTGTTTTGCTGCACAGTTTTTGGAGACAATCAGTGCAATCAAACAATTCTTGTAATTGTCAATGAGACATCAGCTCCTCTCAACAGGTATTCTGACACTAGGCAGGATATTTCTCTCTAGAATCGCTTGATAGTCTTAGGACTATATTGAACCCTACAGAAGTTCCAAACATCCTGTATCAGATGAAGCAAAGCAGCCCCAGAAAATAACAGAGCCTTTTAAAAATGTGTGACAACATTTATAACGGTCAATGATAACACAGTCTGTTAGGAACCAGATGTGACAGAGACAACAGCTTGTCAAAGGTTCCTAAGTCCACAATGAAGGCGTAAAAACTGGCACTGAGGAAATGCACATGCTCTCTTAACTGTGTAAGTAATAAAAAGAGTATTTTGCTTATTTTAAACAATGGGCGTCAAGCGGTTGGCTCAAACAATGATGGATAGGGTCATCTGACACTGATGTTCCTTGAGGTTGAAGTTCATCTTTAATCTCTTTATAATTTGTTCTGAATTATTTTGTCACAATTCATACTATCAGTCTCTTTGATTTTTTTCAGCAAATGTTCTCCTTTGGCCATGTCAAAGATATCTTACAATTCTGAATAATATATCCAACTAGTCACAGGAACATCAAGCTGCTTGGAGATGGTCTCATAGCCTTTAACATGCTTGTCTATAATTTTCTTTTTCATCTCCTGTGACAACTCTTTCCTTTGCTTCCTCTGGTCTATGTTGAGTGTGGTAGAAACCATGTCATCAAATGGCACAGTGACTCCCTGTAGCCCCCTTGAACTTTTCGACCATTTGCCAGGTTTGAGGCTTCAAACATAAAGCTATAAAATTGTATAAACGTAAAGCTATAAAAAAAAAAAACATTATCAATAACAAGCAGAACACAATAAGTTTAAACTATCTTCCATGACCCCACTAAAGAAAAGCATCCCCAAACCATGACACTGCCACCACCATGTTTGACAGTGGGAATGGTGCTTTTACTACAAACATAACATTTTGCATTGGTGCCAGATATTTCCATTTTTGTTTCATCAGACCAGAGCACCTTCTTCCACATGTTTGCTGCGTCTCCCATGTGTTTCATGGCAAATTTAAAAAAAGACTTTTTATGGATTTCTTAAATAAATGGCTTTCTTACATTAAGTCCAGATTTGTTTAGTATACGACTTATTGTTTCCTTATTTTCCTAGAGTCTCAGCTGTAGATCTCTGCAGTTCATCCAGAATGATTATGGTTCTCTTGGCTGTATCCCTGATCAGTCTTCTCCTTGTTTGAACTGAAAGTTTAGAGGGACAGCTGGGTCTTTGTAGATTCACAGAAGTCTGATACTTGTTCCATTTGAATATTATCGCTTGCACAGAGCTCCTTGGGATATTTAAAGCTTGAAAAATATATTTGTCTCCAAATCTAGCATTACACTTCTCCACAACTGTATCTCGGACCTGCCTTGTGTGTTCCTTTTCTTAATGATGCACTTTAAACAGACCTCTGAGACGATCACAGAGCAGGTGCATTTATACGGAGACTTGATTAAATACAGGTGGATTCTATTTATCATCATTAGTCATTTAGGTCAACATTGATCACTGATGAGAGATCCTCACTGAACTTGTGGAGAGTTTGCTGCACTGAAAGTAAAGGGGCTGATTAAACGTTCACACCCAACTCAACAGTTTTGTATTAATTTAAAAAGTATAAACTATCCAATAAATTTTGTTCTACTTCATGATTGTATCCCACTCGTGTTACATTCATTTAGGTGCATCACAATAAATAGAACTTAATGGATGTAGATGCCATACTTTCATATTTTTGTGAACAAGAGGTTAAAAGAGCCATGAGTCATTTTCCTTGCACTGTACAATGATTGAATACTTTATGCTAGTCTATCAAATTATATCTAAATACTATATTTTATAAAGTTTATGCAGTGTGGAAAATTTGCAAGGCAATTCATAAATTTGGTGTTTCTTTTTTCATCTATCTGCATACTTTTGAAATGATTGCCATGGCCTTTGGAATGTTTCTTTGTTCTGAGATGAAAATCTTCACTTTTTACATTTTAAATCAGTTATTTCTTTCATAGTTAGTCTGTGAACCTTAATCCTGTATGGAAGAATGCAATTGCTCATACATACCTCCATCTTATTGAGAGACACCCAGCAGTCTGAGGGGAAGTCCTGCAGCATAGGAACCAGGAACTGTAGGCAGCCGTCCCAGTGACATAGCAGTAGCATCATACCGATCAGGTTGATAATCCGCATCACCGCGCTAGCCAGGTCGTAGGTCATATGGAAGATCTGAAGTGTGACCATTAGATGGGAAAAGGAGTGAAAACAAATGTAAGATATACTAAGAAGAAGATTGGTGTAAATTTTAAACATTAAACTTAATAGCTTCAATCACTGCCTTAGAAACGTGCATCACAGTCAACTATTTTGGATCATGCCGTGTTTGATTAATGAGCAAAGGAAGTGATGAACCATTAATCCCACCTCAAACACAGCAGGAACAGGCAAGACACTTTTCACACAGAGATACGTGACATTAGTCAGAGTCTCTGTCACAGACAAGGTCCAGTCACAGCCATGTTACACTCACGCAAGCCTGCCAGCAAAAAGATCCAACTAAGGCTACAGAAAGACATGTCAGCACATAGACATAGATGCATCCAGAGATTGATGGACAGGAACCATGGTGATCCTGAACAACTGATAGTCTGGGTCGTCTGACACGTCAATCACACCCATTCTCTGAGAAGTCAGTCAGACCAATCATCTAATGCCTGAATAACCTGAAGAAACCTCACAATGATGCTGCTTAACAGTTTAAAGTTAGCCTGAATGCAAAAATAATTTAGCAAGAGGTGTAAATGTATTATGCTGACAGCCCCTGTTCACAAGAAAACACGTGTGACTGTCTGATGGAGTCGACTCTAAAGGAAGTGGGTCACTTCTTACTCAGTGCAGCAAAGAGAAGTGATACTTGGAGATGGAACTGATGGCGAAGGACAGTAGACATGAATCACATGCGCTGATCTTTCTAAATGCAGCTTTAACCTTTATGAGGTTTTCACCGTCAGTTTCTATCAGTCAGGAACTGAAAAAAAGGAGAAAGTGGTCGTATTTTATCAGGATGCAGGAGGTGACACTGCTGCATACAGCTGAAGATGTTCAGCACCATGGACAGCTCTCAAATGCTGGAGAAACTAAAAATGGCCTCAGGCGCAATCACCTAAAATTCCCTATTGAACTTTGAAAAGATGAATTCAAAAATTAGACATATGAAGTGGCAAACCCCTGCACTATCTCAGTAACTGACCTGCTATCTAATCTTCCCTCATTTTCTATGCATGCCATGTATCACTTCCCATCATGCAACACTTTGTGTATGTGTGTGTGTGTGTGGGCTATCACATCATATCTCCAGAAATCCAATTATCCAAAGGTCAAGTGAGCAGCCAAGGCTCACTGTGCCGTTCACTGCTGCAAAATGCCAACGCTGCCGACACTGGCACTGACGAAAAGTGGAGTGATCTCATGACTCCACCGGACATCTTCTGTCCCAGGCTAAGGCTCTCCTTTAGAGAAGTGTGTACTCTAAGGAGGCACTTCCACTTACTTATAACTCATAGTGCAACCTAACATTTAATGACTTTGCTATATCTTCTGGTGAAAGGCCTGGCTATAGAAATCCACCTGATAAAGACAAATCAAGCTCAATTGAAATCAGGAGAGGAAATGATTAAACTTTTGTTTTGATAACCCAGATTTGTCCCTGAAGTCAAAGAAAACAAATAATTTGTATATTCTTTTTCTAATTAAAAAATGCAAATAAGAATACGTTCAGAATTAAGACTGAATTCATTGCATAGGTAAAAGAAAATAATTATTTAGGAATATCGGATTCCTACTTTGCTTATAAATTATGTCTTTTATATGGTAAAGGTGAGGCATGGATGTTAAAGATTATTTTTAAAAACAATAAATTTTTTTATCTTATAATTGTTTTTACATTCTAATCTTGATTTTTAAATACCAATCCAGCCACCCATCAATCCGTATTTGATAACATGTTTATCTCTACAGGATCACAGACAAATCAAATAGCGATCAGATACACTTATGGAGTCTCTTTACAGACATTTATTATTCTTTGCAACAAACTTCCTGTGTATGTGATTAGCAGTTCTAGAGTTTTGTGAACGTAAACAATGTATTATAATTTTCCAATAGACTAAAACCTGAATGTGATTACTGTGATTACTTGAGGAAATCACCAAACTGCAACTGGTCAGGCAAATATGCTTCTAGAGGAAGTTAGGCCAGTCAGGGACAGGGAGGCCAAAACCTCCCTGTCAGTTTTCTTTGTGAAGGAAGGAAAACTTCAGAAAAACCTTCAGAAAACTTACATTAGTTTTTAGTAGTTGTAGTTTTAGGTATTTATTTGTGTATGTGTTTGTTTTTTTATCCTTTCATAAAGTAGTTAATATTATCAAAAAGTCAGGGTTTTGCTTTAAGGGATCATGGCATAAATGTGAAACTTTTCTAAGCTTGTTTGGTTTATACCAAAGGAAAATTGATCTGCAAAATAACTGTTGTCTAAAGACCCATATAGATTGTGGTGGTTGCCTTATAACATCTTCTAAATTCTCCAATATTGTATATCTTCATCATATTTGAGTCTATAAAATGCACGGTCAACCAAGCTACGCCGCAGTTTCTAATTCATTACTGACATGTCTAATCACAGTCAATGGACCCCGCAGTGCTGATTATTATCATTATCCTGCACCTCTGCTGCTCCACCTGTGGTGCCTTAATTGATTAACTATGTTTGCCCTGATAATAGGCTGCTTATTAGCCTGCCTGATGCCACTGGCAGGACTGCAAGGTCACCAATGCAGATGTACAAGAGGGTGCAAACCTTTTTCTTTTTCTTTTTAAATGCTCTAATTTCCTTTTAATTTTGTATCTGCTTGTTTTTTCCAGATTGGCAAATGCCACTATTAATAAAGCTACCTTTAGGTGAGGGAGCCCAGGCTACTTGGAGCATATGCAGAGGCAGATTGTCCACTTGGTAATGAGCCAATACCAGCTTATTGGAGACAAATCAGAGAGGACTAATGTCCTATGTGTCTGTCAGTGTTATAATCAATATCTACAACTCTATTAACTTGTCTTACCTCTTCCCATTGGTGAATGTAGCGTATCAATCTGGAGAGCCGGAGCAGCCTCAGAAGACTTAGGATCTTGGTAAAGCGGACAATCCTCAAGGCCCGAGCAGTCTTGTACACCTCAGAGTCTATCCCTTTCTCCACTATAAGGAATATGTAATCCACCGGGATGGAGGAGATAAAGTCTACAATAAACCACGTTTTTAAGTACTTTTTCTTTATAGTCTCAGGGTCCAAAATTATGTCTGAGTTGTCCTCAATGATGATTCCAGTGCGAAAGTTAAGCACCAGGTCCATGAGGAAGAACGTGTCAGAGACCACATTGAAGATGATCCAGGGTGTTGTGGTTTCTTCCTTGAAAAAGGTGATGCCCACAGGGATGATGATCAGGTTACCCACCATAAACAGCAACATTGTAAAATCCCAGTAGAACCTGTACCATTGCGGTAGTGAGTTATGTGGGGTGTGCCATGGGTAGGGGAAAAGAAGAAGAGAAATAAAATCAGAGAGGGCAAAACAGGAAAAATAGTTTAGCTACATCAAATGTTTCAATTCAGGGTGGAAACTGTGGTTTAAGTCGTGGAGTTATTAGCTCCTGTACAGACATGGCGACATTTAGTTTAAGATCAAAATTCCCCTTTAACAATTTTAGCTCACTATCTACACTCACCAGGCAGGATATTGTGACCACTGGCAAGTGAATCAAATGAAATTCATTTTCTCTATGTAATTGCACATTTGATTTAAAAGGATTAATATGGAAAATGTGTAAGTTTGAAAACTTGAGGAGGTTTTAATGAGGACCAAATTTTGATACCAAGATAGCAGAATCAGTAAGAAAGTCCCTGAATATATAGGTAATGTAGGGTGATCCCTGGTCAGCTTCCTTTAAAAAATGGTCAAAGTAAAATAAGACTGGTGAACCAGGGACAGGTTTGTTCATACTTTAAAGATCTGCAAACCAGTCAAAATGACCATGTTAGTCATTTTTTAATGTCTGGCTGGCTTATTTGGTTATACACATTAGTAAACTGTTCAAATAACCTTGAAAAGGAATTTGAAAACATAGTAATTTACCAGTCTTCAAGATAATCAAAAGCTGCTCTTCAGGATGATTTCAAATCTGGATGCAACATCCACAATAAAGGAATAAGGAATGTTCTACTTCATTTAACTTTGAAAGAGGTTTTCACAATCTTTATTTTATTTAACAATTGCAACTCAATAAAAAAACATTATATTGTTATTTTCTTCATCCACATGGATTTCTATTTCCTTGTCTGTCAGGGGCCTGACCAGCCAACCATGATGTTGCCCAATTGCTATTTTATCCAAAGTAACAAAAGCACATCTGTTGCCTTTAAGTTATTTTTAAGTCAGTTAGAAAAAGTCCACAAAAGAACAATCGTAAATTGAGTGAAAAAAAGTTGAGGGATTTAACTTATTGATTGTCACTCTTGGATCAAAGAGAGATCAGAGACAATCAAGGAAAAACTGACAATACTCAAAAAAGGAAATAAATAGCATATATATATATATATTCTTCTTTTACTGTTATTGATTATGAAGTAGTTCACACTTCATCCAGCACTGGATATTTTTGTTTTGTGCCAGCAAATAAGAAAAAAATGTATATATTAAGATTACAATTGTGAGTATCTTACTCTCTTTGGTATGATGTTTGGGCTGGGTTTATTTAGACTGTTTAATTAGTTCTCAGGATTTTACAGTACATTGTATATACATTATAGCTAAAGATATGATCTAGGACATTTTTCGCAACAAATGTTCACGTTACTGGAGTAAAGATTGCAGGATTTTAACAAGCGTTGAAAATATGTACTTGTGAAGACAAACAGATGTAAATAATAACAATTACATCATAAGAGGCACAGGAATCAATTTGATTAACTGGCATTATTAATTATCATTGAAAACAAGCCATTTTGAAAGTTTCTCATGCTGATTTTGAAACCTTCCAATTGTAAAAAGGTTGCACCTTAAGTTTTTAAGCCTCGAATTGACTGATTTGATAACCAATGGTTTGACTATCAGTATGTCTGTATCTCTGCTCTGATTCTCTGTACTACCAGCTTCCATGTATTCTAGCCTTGCCATTTTTTCCTTATTTAACATGTACGCAGATCAAATTACCTTAAAGCAACCATGCAGAACAGAAGTAAACACGTTGAATGATAAGTTAGATTGGTAAAATTACAAATATAGAGGAAAAACAAACAGACATCCAGATAGTTGTGATCAAAATAACCCTTATTTACTACCCAAGGCCTCTTGTAATGTCACCAGAGGCATGTGGTTTTGAATAAGTCCACTTTGATTAAGCATCAATGATTTGTCCTTCTAAGAATGACAAGTCATGTTCAAAATAATATCAGTTTATGTTACAGAAACTCTGGAAAGGGGCTTAAAATATTGTGTGTAGGGTCTATAGATCGGGGTGGAGACGAAAAGGGGTGAGGTATCAGCCTGTCAGAGGAAGCTCTGCAGGACAGGTGCAGCGCTGAGTCATTACACTGCGACTTATGCAACAAGCTCTGTTTCCTGATACAAACCACGAATATCATTTTTGATGCAACTTTGCTGCCATGCATTAATGTGAATGAGAAACTGAAGAGGGGAAGATGGAGCATCTTCTCATGTAGGTTTTAGGGATCTATTAAGTGACTTGTCATCAGATTATATCCGGGCAGTTGTCTTCCAAATGGACTTTTAGTGCCATTCTGACTCCGCGTTATGTGATACATGTGGGCCAAACATGAATGGTGCTGGAGGAGGGAGCTGAGAGGGGAGCTGTCCACTCCCAGTGGTGCTGATCCCCAGACGGCCCAGCCCACATCTAAACCCGCTGATTTTCTAACCCAAATACCTTTCATCAAATAAAAGGCTTTCAGGGAACACGTTAATCAGGCAGAAACCTCTATCCCAAAATATTTGAATGAGAAAATAGCTGCTGATTCTCCAGCCCGGGTTATCCGCTCATCAAACAGGGTGCATCCATCGATAAATGGCAGGATCCTTCGGGCGGATCTGTCTCCACTGAGCAGGCTTGAGGTTTTCGCACACTTGGCTCAAGGTGACATTCCGTTGCTGAGTGCATCGCATACACACATGCATACACTCCCATATAGCCTACATCCTGTCAGCACGGTGCCTGTCGCAAGGCAGACGTCTATTGCGATTATTTTATGCCTTATTTTTATTACAAAGAATTTTTTTTTCTGATGAGTATTAATTACAGTGGGAGCGCTGCCTTCTTTGATGAATGTGAGCATCGCGCTGTGAAAAGTGGAGATTTAATAGCAGGCCTGGCTTGCATGAGCACCCCAGATATGCTATTGTTCCGACAGCAACAGGATTTGTTTACAACCTTGAGAGGACACTCTTCCTTAAAGTGCCTGACAACAGGTTGTTTGTGGAGGTGGTGATGGTGGGGGATTGGCTTTTAGCTGCCTCTCCTTGGTAAATTCTTAGACAATAGGTTTAAATGACAAATCAGCTGCATGTAAGGTTGGATAGTAATACAGCGTGTGTTTCCTGTGCTTCCACTATACTCAGCATAAAGTAAGTTGTGTATGGGGACCTTTACGGGCCTCTAATCACATCAACTAATGTCAGCCCAGTCTCTTACCTGAAATCACTATAAGGATGGATAATCCAGTTTCCAGCTGATTTCACCCTCTCCTGCTCCTTCTCAACAGCTTTTTGACTACCATACATGCGCAGGGAGAATTTGTTAACTCCAGGTTGCAGCATGCTACTGAACTGCCGCTGCATGAAGCTGGCTTGGCTTCCCCGAGGTTCTGCATCCTCGGCGGGCACAATCGATGGTCCATCTTCCTGTTTCTGGAAAGTTACAGAGTTCCTCGGCTGTTGAGTCTGAGTCTGGGTCGGGCCGTGCAGCGAGGAGGAGGCTTTCCGGCTCGGCGCGTTGGAGAAGGACACCTTGGAATCCTTCTTCTCAGGTACACCGCTGGATACGGGGGTGGCGCCCGGGTTGGCGCCCTCCCCGCCTTGCCCCCCGGTTAGAGACCCCCCTGGCGTGATCGAGCCGTCCATACTGGCGGTGGTCGAGTTACAGGTTCCCCGCCTGGCAGCGCCCCCTTCCTCGGCTTTGCCCGACCCCACTGTCTGCTTCTCCTGCTTGGGGATTATTGAGCGCAGGCTCCCGGTACCCGAATCCCTCCTGCATTCTCCGTTTTTGTTGCATTTCATGCTGGAAGCTGGAGCGACGCCGATGCGACCATCACCCGCTGTGGCGTTGGAAACCTTTACCCCGAGCGCAGATTCCGACGCCTCCGCCCCAGACGCTCCGCTGGTCTCGCCGCGTTGGGCAGCATCGCCCGGACAGGGTGTCTCGGTCGCTCCAGAGGCAGCAGTGGGCCGTGAGGCGGAGGGAACGTCCTCTGTGTGCGTAAGGCAGAGCTCCTTGTTGGAGTTCCTCCTGGAAGCCGAGGACGAGGCTCCCCCTCCTGGCGTAAAGTTCTTCATCCTGATACTGCCGCCGCCTCCTCCTCCTCCACCTCCGCTGCTGCCGCTCCCCCCGGCTCGGCGCAGCCGCGGATGCTGAAACCTGGACTCTTCTTCTCCATCCTCAGTCTCATCCATCACGACGCTGCAGGTCAAACCGGGCTGGTTACCGCTAGATGCGACGGGGGAACCGGGGTTCAAGCAGTTCTGTCCACCGGTGCTTTTGGAACATTTAGATGCGGCAGCATTGGGTGCACTGATGTGGCTGCACCCGCTGCCGCCCACCCCCTTCTTTTTCATGGTGGCAGCAGACACCGGTGAAACCTTATTCCTGTCCATGACATTGAGCATATCGAAATTTGCCTCCAATTATCTATGAAGGAGGCCAACCAGAGAGAGAGGGAGGATAAGAGAGAGAGGAGGGCCGAAGAAAAGGGACAGTGAGAGAAAGGAGGCACGGAGAGGGAGGAGTGCAGGGGACTTCTTTCAGCACCTGTCCAAAAAAAAAAAAATATATATATATATATATATATATATATATATATATATATATATATATATATATATATATATATCAATACTTTAAGGTTTCTAACTGGAGCCTCAAGGTTGAATACTAACAAATGAATTGTTGGGTCTCCAATAAACGGAAAATATTATTTACCCTGCAACTAGTCCACATACACAGAACCACCACGTGTTTAGAGCGCACTCTGAAAGGCAAGTTCAAAGTGGCATTTTATTGTGCAATCTCACACAGCATGACAACTTTGGTCTGCTACCCCAAGTATATTTTAGCGCCTTCTAGTGGTATTGCAGCATCTAACTTGACGAAACTCCTCAGGTATGCTGAAGCACGGGTGAGAGGCAGTTGACAAATATTTAGGGTTTGGCAAGATCGTCATTGTGTTGGAATGTGCATCATTCGTTAATCTGGATATTTATTAACAGATGGTGATTCTATATGTTCTCTTTGTGTGATTAGGATTAATTGCCCTTATCTAGTCCTGTTATGGCCACAAATTTGATATAGGTTTATTGGGATCTAATGAAATAGACCAAATCAAATATAACTGCAAAGTGCAAAGTGTAAATTAAAGGATCTGTGGATTCTATGTTTCATTCTTTTTACTCTGACATCTCCCGCATAAAATCCAGTATATGTCACGTCTTGGTTGAGGTTTGGAGGACCCAAATGCAGAGGCAGAGAGGCTGAGGTGAATACTTGTAGTTTTAATGCAAAAATGGTTAACAAAGGCAGTCCAAAAATCCAACTAAAATGTAACAGACCAGAACCATGGAGACATCAAGGGAAAACATGTAGAAGGAGCCTGGGAGAGACGAGGGGAGACGATTGCAGCGATGACAGGACCAACAACAACAGAGAAACCAACAAAGAGGGAGAGCATAAATAGCTGACAGAGACAAAGGGAGGGCTAACGAGCTGATAAGGAGCAGGTGTGAGGAGACAACGAGGGAGCCAAGGGGAAAGGAACACACACACACACACATACAAGAGGGCAACAGAGGACAACAGAAAAACATGAGAACTAACATAAATATAGAAATTACAACAAAATAGGAATTAAACCAATAAAACTAGAAAACAAGGAGCAAAGTAAAGCACAACATAACCAAAACCATGACAGTATAACTAAAAGCTATTTTATATCTAAAGGTGACCTGAAAGGTGCCTGTTTGCTTTCTAGGATGGGCAAACAGGATTGTCTCCAAGACATTCAAGATTTAGGATGCCACAGCAACTGACCTATTGTCATTGAGAACTGAGGTGGTTTTTGGTCCCGTAAAAGAAAAAATCTGTTTTCCACATCACTGGAACCTTCTCTTTGATAAGCCTATTATTGAGAAGGTGCTACAGAAAACACCACTGATGGTTTACACAGAACTCCAGGATTTTGGGGCTGGCATCATCCAGACCTGCAGCCTTTGGTGCATTTTAATCACTGGAAGCAAGACAGAATGATGCTAGCTTTTTCGCAGTACTATTGTAACTATCTTGTTTCTGTTGTTTTTCTTTAAGTTTTTCAATTCATTTCATTTTCAAGTTTAGCCAGGTTTTTCCTTGTTTTCTAGCTTTATTGGTGTCTGGATTCATTTAAGTTGCTTAGGTTTTTCTGTCTGTCCTCTGTTGCCCCCTTGTGTTCTTTTCCCTTGGCTTCCTCGTCAGCTCTAGTCACACCTGCTCCCTATCAGCTCATTAATCCTACCTTTGTTCAGTCAGTCTTAAATACGTTCCCTCTGCAGTCCCTCTTTGCTGGTTTGCATTTGGGTCCTCATAAAAACCTCCAAACAAATCGTGACAACTAGACCTATTGCAGAATGTCTCCAGCTCTCCCAGATTTTAATTAAGCTTTTCCTTCTTCTGCTTGAAGTATGCAATCTTCTTTCTCCCTGACCACATATTTCAACAATTGTTCTTCTGGGTATTACACTACAGTTTTCTTCCTTGCTATACATCATCCAAAGTGTTTTACCATCCTCATAATTTATTTTATGTCACACTTCCTAAACACTCTTTTGTTTTTACCTTACCTTCAGGTCACTGGTGACCAGCCTTTGCAATTGGGGAAGAATCTCACTGTTCCAGTGGCGTTATCCTCACAGAAATTTAGAGTCTGTCATCCCCCAAGTCATGAAATGTACATCATCTCAGTGTGTTTGGCAGAGTGCATTCCATTCTGTACTCTCAAAGAACTCTGCAGAGCTTTTTCAGCTTCCTGCGGCCATCTTTTCCGTCTGTTATATCCCAGGCTGCCACTGAACAATGGGGTTATAAAAGTGGGCTGAAAAAGTGCAAGAGAATCATCTGCTATGCAACAGAATGTCTTTCAGCATCGATGGATGCATATTTATGTTTTATTTCCACAAATGTCTCCAGTGTTTTTGCTTTTTGTAAAGCTGCTGACAACAGCTTTAAATACTGAAAGTATACATAGAATAAGGCATCATAAAAATCTTCACATATTTTCACAATGATGTTGGGATGTTATGCGAGTTGCCAAAATACTCTGCATTTGGATATGTAATATTTGTTTATTTACAGGTCTTTTTGTCAAAGTCAGTACAAACTGGCCCATTAATTTGCTGAAATTGTCTCAATTCTTCTAGCAGCAGCTCTGTGATAGATGTTCTGCCTCTATCCTGCCTGCAGCCTCTTACCATCCCGAAACAATGAGCTGAAACTGTTCGTTTTAACCTCTGCAAACATGACAAGTATACTCAGAGGAAAAAAGAAATATACAAACAAATAAAATGCAAATTAATTATAGCTGGTAGGCATAATGTGAGAAAACAGTAAAAACAGTAAAGCTATATCATTACAACTATAACTGTATTTCTGTTTTATGTAAACCTATCAGAGGGCAGAGTAGTTCCCTAAAACATGAAGCTAACATTTGTTTTTAGTAAGGCAAGGCCAGTTAATTTGTAAAGCACAATTCAGTACAATGACGATTCAAAGTGTTTTACATGAATTAAACAATAAAACAGAATACGGTAAGAATAAAAGAAGAATAAAACCAAATCAAGATGCCAGATGCAAGCTATACCATATAGGAGTAAAAAAATTTTAACCGAAAATCTGAAAACAGATTCACCAAGTTACAGGGAGGTTATATTTTAGTTTTTGTATTTTAGTAGTTGCATTTTTTCTTAAATCACTATACAAAGTTACCAAGCTGGCTTTAAACAGTATAACAAATATGAGGATCCGAATTTCCTCCCCCTTATTTTGAGGATGTTTGTACCAAAAGCCCAAGCTGCAGGAACCACAGTAATCGTTTCTACACATCTGGGCCAGAATAATCGAGTGGTCTCTCATCACAGAGGACATAAAGGGTTTAGCCTGTTTTCTCTGATCTTATTTTGGTCTACCCTAATTTTGGACCCATATTTGGTTGTCAAGACGTTAGAAAAACTGTTGTGGTATCTGACGACAAGATATGACACTCGTAAAGAAAAGAAAAAAGTATTGCCAAAGCCAGTAAGGACATTTGCTATTCGCTATGTTCAGCTTAATGTTTTAAATAGTCTCTTGCTTTTTAAAAAAATCATTGCTGCTGGGAAGATACAGCTTTATTGCTGTTCCTTTCTTGACCACCTGTTTCTCCTGCTTTCTCTTTGCTTAATTAGTCAAGACCATGCAGCTGCAGTTTGATTTGTTGCATTGTCTAGTTACATAAAGCTACACCAACTCTTAGTTATCAGCAACTGGCCAAACGAAATGGCCAAAGACTGATGATGCCATAAAGCAAACAGGTGGAGTTTTTGGCCCAGAAACAGTTTTTTTTTTTTTCCGGTACACAGCTGGAGATGCATCCTTATAAGGATCGTTCATTGATCATAGTGAAGAATGTTCGCCTAGATAAAGAGAATGAAGGGATGACCTTATTGGTGTACCATATATGTCTTTGAAACAAAGGAGAAGCAAAGAGATTTATGTATTATCAAGGACTTTCCCCCAGTTTTAAAATTGAACTTCACGAAGTAATACCCCTACTTTATTTCTCTATTAGTGCCACTACTCTTTTAGAGCTGTGTAATAAAAACAATTTTCAAAAGCTTTTTCAATTAATGAGTGTACCAACACCAGATTTACTTAAAACCCTCAGCTATACAATTTCATTTGGTATTTATTACTAGTAATTTAATTATCAAAATCCTCACAGTTTGGTCCATTGAGTCATTTTTTACTGCATGTTAATCACTGCTAAATTCTCAGCTTTAGTCTTGAATATCTAATATGATCATAATGAATCATGTACTTTCATCCAGATAGAGCAGTGGCAGTGAGCTTCCTTCTAAAACATTCCTTAATATATTCTGCCAACATTAAATAAGATTTTTTATTATGGAACTCGGAAATTTTGAAAAAGTAAGTTCTTCTGCTGTTAAGTTTGGATGTTTTTTTTGAATAGAAATGTAAACCTGAAATGTTCAGCATGCGTTTGTATATTTTAGAACTACCTTTAGCTTATTTTACAGCTGGGTTTTTTTAAACTATCTCTCTCTCAGCTTTGCCCATCTTCACAGCAGTGACGTGCATGTGGGTGTTTGGGCAGAGGAGGCTGTTGCCCAATTGTTGAATATTGTGTGCTAAAGTGCCTTCACTGGAGACAAAACACACGCTAAAGAACCACGTTTGAAGCCAAGACGCTCACTAAAGAGTCTTCTCGGGAACCAAAATGTGCTATAGTGCCTCCTCGAGAGCCAAACCACGTACTAAAATGCTCTCTCGGGAGCCAAAAAATTTGCTAAAGTGCCCTATCAGGAGCCAAAACATGCACCAAAGTGCCCATCTCTGGAGCTAAACTGGGAACTAAAGTGCCCTTTTAGACACCAAAAGCAGTCTTCAGAGCACGGAGACAGGCGGGTAACACAGCAATCCAGAGCTCAACGAACTGAGGGAGACAGGATAGAATCAGGACTCCAAGACATCAGGTTAGAGATATCTGTCAACAGGACAGAGGCCTAAGCGTACCACAAAGGTTTAACACGCCGGAGTCCTTCAGCTGACTGAACGCTCCTATTAAGCTCAGCAGAGCAGCCTCAGTGGGCCGCAGGTGCGGGGCCATGCCCACCTGTCATGGTAGACGGGCAAGAGGCCCAAAAGGAGTCCAAGAGGTTCGGATCAGGGATAGAGGACCCAGGAACCCATGACCGGTCCTTGGGGCCGCAGCGCTTCCAATCAACGAGATACTGATGGCCCTTACCTTGTCGACGGGAGTCCACGATCCCTCTGATCCGGTGCTCCAGACCGGATCCGTTGTCAGGGTGTCACCGAACCCTGACAACCTTCAATAAGTCTGTGTACGCTACTACTAAACAGTAATTATGTTTGCCTATTTCCTCTGCAAAACACCTAGATCTCAGTAGAACTGGGTTGAAATTATGTAAGCATTGGTCCTCCTTCAATGTCAAACTTTGAACAAGGTTTGGCAATGAATACATTCCAAAAAGACTTTCACTGTAAATAAAGGTATCCAATACAATAATACTCCTCATGTTTTATTTTGTGCATGATGTATTGAGTTTAAAATGCAGCATTAGTTATTCCTCAATACTTTTTGATTGCTTTTTATCAGACAATCTTCCACATGATTGCTGTTTCCTATATTAGTTGTGTGTGCACTCTGCCCAAAAACCTTCTCTAGCTTTTGTCTTACAACTCAAACCCAGATTTGTTAAGTGAATGACTAATAAGTGATTTTTTAACAGATTCTCCATCTCTAGTCCTCATTATGCTGTTTGTTCAATAAAGTTCTCTAATGAGGGTTTTTGTAAAAAATTGAATCAGCTTTCATTTTCCATCCACACTTCATGTTGTTATATTACACAGAATTTCAACAAAAAACAGTTAAATATGTGGTTATGAAAATAAACAAATAACAGTAAGAATAGGATTATTATTATAGAAAAGGATTATACTGCTAATATCATTTAAAAGAGGGAGAAAAGGTGCAGTTCTACAGGTACAGGAAACCATGTTAGGCTTTTACATACTTATTTATATATTAGAATAAAGCAATTCATTTTTTAAAGAGTCTTAAACTAAATCATAACTTCTTGGTTTCACAAGTGTGACTTTTTGGGGGGAATTTGCATAGACCACAGAATGCCAATATGTACATGCAGCCCTACTAATATTAGGTTAAATGTACTTAAGTAAGAAACCAAATCTTATTTTTTATCACTAATAAAACATGGGGCATTTCTGAGTGGAAGTTTTAACACTTTGTGTCCTAGGCTTTTATTTAAAATATATATGCTTTAGATTTTAAACTAGGGTTGAGGTCAGGGTCATTCTTAAACTTAATGGTTGACAACTTTTCCCAAACAAAACATTTCTCCAAGGTCTTTTTGGAGCACTGTGTTGTTTGGACACCAAAGTTTTAGACATCCAGCTCAGGTAAAGTTGAATGTTACTCCTCCATTTTTATTTCTCTCCAAAATCTGTGAAATGAATTATACCACAGTCAATGAAACTAACTCTTTGCATGATACTACCACTACTGTCCATGATGAATGAGTGTTCTCATGTATGGCAATCTCATCCAGTTACACCTCCTATTTTTGTGACATAACTCAACACTTCCTTTACTTTGACCAGAAAACTTTGTTCGACAAGGCATCTGGTTTGGTGATGGCTGAAATATTTTAATTAAGCTCAACATTTCCAACTTAAGAGCACGCTTCTTTCTTGGTCAGCATTTCCTGCTGCTGATGTTAAATTGCAGCAGCTTTACGTTTGATTTCCTTGGTTGATTTTGAATTAACAATCATGCCAAAAAAATATATATAAGATCACCCTTTTGTTTTGTTCATGATATTTATTAAGTAACAAACCTTAAGAAAAATACATTTAAGAAAACAAGGCTGGTCTACTGATTTTATTTACAAAGAGGCTAATATTAATCTTCTAGAAAAGTCCTAACATCAACTGCATTGAAGTGATATACTGCAAATTAAAAGCCAACTCTATGCCTGCAGAACAACCAATTTATATGAAAACAAGTTAAATGCTCAAAAGAGCTGTACAACATCTACCAACATCAGCTAAATATTTGATTGAGCTGCTACTCCTAATTGGATTAAAGACAATTCATACCAAATTTGACTCAATACTTGCTATTATGTTTTAATAGGTACTCATTTTGCAGACTATTACCTCAGGGTAGAAAGAATGATTCCAATAAATCATCAAATACCCAAGGTAATGTCTTAATAATTGCTTGTAAAAGTTCTGAGTAGAAATATACCTGGATTTTTACCAGAGAAAGAAGCAAAGCTGGAAAATGCAATGATGATCAAATGAAGTGTTTGGGAGTCACAAACCCTGAATTGATAGTTCCACATCCAGGAAAATCGCATTGACCTTGGGAATCATCTTCTCTGCCTTTGGAGGTACTTTATTCATCTGACTTTGTGTATAACCAGATAGAAGCCAGCAAGATTATTTTTAAACAAAAAAATTGTTGCAGTGACTCAGAAAACTCAGTTTAATCTGTGCTCATGACTACTTAACCAACTCCACAAATAAAATAACCAAGATCAGATTGTTCCTGCTACATAAAAAAAAAATTGAAACTAGTTTAATAATCCCATCTAAGTGATGATGTGACATTTAGTAATCTCTCTGGTCACTCTGCAGACATCACTAATAGAAAATCTGGAATCTGTTGTTTTAAGGACTTTATTGTGACTGTACAAAAATTCAGCAAATAAAATAACACTCATTTTGTGAAACTCATTTGGCCAGTTCCATAGAGGTAAAATGATCCCATGCCATTTCATTTCCCTTTTTCTTCAATAACTTACATTGTTTAAGTTGGTTTTCAGTGAACACACACGGCTGTATGTTTTTTTTCCCTAAAAAAATAAAAACTGTGTTCACCTTTAAGCTGAAACCATCCCTACCAAGATCAAAATACAGCAAATACACAAGTGAGCTCTTATTAAATGGATAAAAGAAAAAGGGGGAAAACATCCTGAAATATAACAGAAAAAAAAGGCTTGATTTTGTACAGTAGTTTATCCAAATTCACTTTCTCACCCTCAGATCAAACCTTGTGCAAAAAAAAGGCAAATAAATTAAAATATGTCACACAACCAGCCACCCTCCCCAAGAGGTTTTATGCATGATCAATCAGATGAAAGTAGCTGACATTTCTTTTAAAGAATTTCCAATATAAACATATAGTCAACCACCACAGGCATTTTTTTTATAAAGCATTTTGGGTTCTTCTTCTTTTTTAATCTAAAATGTGTCCACACCTTATAACGAGGATGTTTTTCCAGCAAAATGCAGTCCACTCCTGTTCTATACTGCTTCTTCTCTCGTCCTTGAATATATTTTTTCACATTTGTTGTTCACTCCTCGTACACTAGGTAACAATAGCAGCAGCGGTTGGACCCAGCATCCTTTCGGCAGAGGGGAGGAATGAAGACAAAGAAATGAGAGTTTTTGTCCCCAAGAATTGAGACATAAACCTGTAATGGTCTCAGCTGCAGAAAGGAGCTGATGGTTCTCAGCGGGCTGCGGTGCTCAGATGTGAAGAAGTATGGGGGGGGGGACCTAGGAGTTGTTGGTTGCATTTTCGTTGCTAGGTGAGCTTGGTGAGGAAGAGGAGGAGGATGAAGGTGGAGAGAAGTTGATTCCTGATAACACCGGTGGGTCTGTGGCTGTGTTCTGTCCACTAAGGCTCTTCCTGCACACGGGACACGTGTCGTGCTGCCAGAGAGGAGGATAAGTGTTGTTATTTAAGGAATCGCCATCAACAAATTTAGATTGACAACTACTTACAACACTGTGAAAAGGTTATTTCCTCATTTTAACAGATTTTTCTTTCAGTTCTTTGGTTACAGTTAAACGTTTTAGATTCTTGAACAAATGTTCATGTGAGACAAAGGTTACAAGAGTAAATAAAAAAGGTTCCAAATCAGGATTGAATTCATTAAGGGAAAAGAGCCATCTAAACCAGAGGTTCCCAAACTTGTTTGACTTCTGACCCACATTATAGTGGTAGACTGGAGTTATGACCCAAACTAACTAACTAACTAACTATCCTCCCTCGCTTATTCCTTGTCAGGGTTGCGTAGGGGCCAGTGCCTATAGGCGAGAGGCGGGGTACACCCTGGACAGGTCACCAGTCTGTGGCAGGGCAACACAGAGACAGACAAAGACATACAACCATGCACACACTCTCACCTAAGGACAATTTAGAGAAGCCAATTAACCATCAGTCATGTTTTTGGACTGTTGGAGGAAGGTGGAGTACCTGGAGAGAACCCAGGCATGCTCAGGGAGAACATGCAATCTCCATGCAGACCACGGGCCAGGAATCAAACCCAAAACCTTTTTGTTGCAAGACTGACCCAAACTACTAGTAGAAATATAAATATTTCTAAAACATATTTTGACCTCTGGTATAATAGTAGCATAAACAGCATCAATAACTGTTGTATTTAGTTTTGTCAACTTCTGGGTTATGTTTTTATGTCTTATACACACAGAAGATTCACCATGATCATTTTCAGTGTTTAGATTTAATTTTGAAGTGCATTCAGGACCCAATACTAACTGATCAGTGACACAAAATGGGGCAACAACATTAACTTTGGTTTATCAAACCAGTCTGAATCAATGTAGAAAAATTAATTACCCCTTGAGCCTAAAATCTGGTTGTGCTTATAATACAACATCAACCGGGATCAAGTACTGTAGTCTTATTCTGCAAACAATCTCCCCATTTTGGTCGACTTTTCGTTGCAGAATTGTTTCAATTCAGCCACATTGGAGGGTTTTAGGAACAAAAGGTCTTTTTTGTTCTATGCTGGGTTTTTCATGTGATTAGTGCCAGGAAAAAAAAAGCTGAACAGCCTGATCTGTGGCTGGACTGAGCCTGGATTCTATAAGGTCAATAGTGGAGAAGAGGACCTTGTTTAATCTCAGACACTTTTTCCTTGATACCTTCTCACTAAGAAGAAGCTCCTTAATGTCAGACTTTTGTAAATGAGCTTCTCCACAATCAGACTGTAGAACTTGTTTGTCTAACAGGTCATAAGTATGAAGTATTTCTTCAAGAGTTTTAAAGAGGTTAAGAGGTTTTAAACAATTATTTAATAGCCTCCCAATTATAAAAGAGGTGTCCTCGCTCGTGTCCTTTGGATTATTGTTCTGCTTCATAACAAAAGTGTGCTGCAGCTTAAGGTGAAAAAGTCCTTGACCCGACTTTCAGAACCATGATTTTCTAACAGCAAGAGAAAGGACTTATTCTATAACTTATAAGAACAAACACCAAACCATCACACTCCCACCATGTCGGGATAATGTCCTTTTTCTAAAAGGTTCTGTAAATAATGGTTGATTTGGTCATTTCTCATAGAGACCACCTTTTGTCCACTCTCTTTCTTATGGTTAAATCATGAATATTGATCTTACTCCTGCAGTGCTTCCATATTGAGACCTCAAAAATCAGCTTTCATTATGTTCTTCAAATCATTTTGTAGCTGAATCCTCAACAAGAAGGTTCACCACCCTGGAGGTGTGATGTTTTGTTCAGGATAATCTTCAATTTTTTTCTTATCTTGAGAATCTTAGAAAAACAGCGCATGTCTTGTTTTAAGTCGACTTCAGGTTATCACAGAGGTTATACCATAGGGATTTCTTATTTCTACAGATATACTAGTAATCATTGCAGCGAACTTTTACAATCAATCTAAAAATAAAGGGGGAATCTTAACTAGTTTTTTATTTTAAAAATAAAAAAGGGGTGGGTCATTTTAGATAGTGGAGGATTCGATTGAATAGCTAATGATAGATAAATGTATTGAAGTTTTTAATCAAGAACCTGTTAAAAACGTGTTAACATGTTAAAAAAAACTGAGTGTCTCTAAAAGGCAAAATGGGGATTACCACAAAAAGATCAGCTTTTAAATATTGTTTAGGTTAAAGCTGCAAGCTGTGTCACGCCCGTGCTGTAAAAGCCCACAGGGCCGCTTATCTCTGCTGATCAATGTGAAAAGGACAAAGTAATTATGATTTCAAAGAGGCTACAAGCTACAGGCCAAATCATAAATCAGTTAAATTAAAGCAGAGGGTAAACGTGCCTGTCTGAGCCATATACGTCAGCAAGAAGAGCTATGTCTAGCATTAGGACATGGTCAGAGGAAGAAAATATATTCAACAGTAAAGCTGTGTGTATCAAGTTAAAATGTATTAGATTTGAGACATTGGAAGAACAATAGCCTTCTTCACTAAGCTGACCTTGAGTTTATTAAGCACTATGACGCTGATCGGCAGGAACTCTGGTTGGGTTTAATGATCTCTGTTCAAGAAAAATATTTGGAGGCTGCAGTGTCCTGAATGACCCTGGTTGGTGATCTCACTGCTTTGGAATCACAATACACATGAAAAACTGGGTTTTATTTCACCACACTATAAAGCCAATCAGCTGTATATCATTTGCAAAGCGTTTGCTTTAATGAAAAGTATGACTGTTTATCAGGAAATGCCTTAAAATAGTAAAGATTGGTACTGGGGTGAGGAAATTCCTACATCACCAAAACAAATAATGAAATCAAACAGACCTGTTTTGAAAGCCAGATCTACAACTGTTACATAGGGATGTCCCAATCTGATATTAATATCTCGCTATGAGATTAACCAGAAGAATACTATCGGATTTTATCGGCCGGCATCTAAAATCTCTGATATTTTCATGCTGAAAGAAACATTCTGCTTCTGTTAAAAGTTTCTGTAACTCATTGGTTAATTTTAAATGGCTCAGTTGTTGTTGTACCTTTTGTTGTTTACTTTTGTTCCCTGTTTTACTAATATTACTTGATAAAGTATTTTTTAGCATTTTACAGTATAAAATAATTAATAACAGCCAGTATGATTCATGCTAATATTGTATGGGGTCAATAACGGTATCGGCCATTTCTCAAAGCTGCAATATCATCATCATACTGGAAATGAAGGTTGTATTGGGACAGCCCTATTGCTAAAATCCATGCTTTCTCTTAGTGGACACTAATAGAATAATAAACCAAGAAGAAAGCTTCCAGGGGAATGCCTCAGAGACTCTTTGTGCTGTGAGATAACAAAAGAAGCCGGAATCAGAGACTAATGAGTTCAAACAGCAAAACTTGTTACTCTATTCCTTTGAACTAGGGTTGAAACAATTAATCAGATTAATCATGATGAATTGATTATTGAAATTCTCATCAACTAATTTAGTAATCGATTAATCTTTAACTGGAGTGTAAAGACTTTAATATTTAAATACCTGCTTTTAGCTGACAGAGCAACCCACATTGAGCAGCAATTATACCAAAATTGTAAAAGAAATATGTAAACATTTTGCATTTATGATAAAAAAAAAAAAACATTTTCTCCTGTCAATATGCTCTATCCAAAACTCCTCAAGTGGAAAAGTTTTAGATTTACCTAATTTAATTCTGTAAAAAATCTTTAAACAACCTTTGGCTATCTGATTATTAATTGATTATTTGAAAAAATCATCTACAGGTTAATTGATTTGCAAAATAATCGTTAGTTGCAGCCCTACTTTGAACCATTACAAAGCTGTTTTTTTCCACCTATACCTCATTTTATAATAATTACATTGTCTCCCTAAACTACCAGTAAGTAATTTCTGCATCATATGAGCTGCTATGGAGTCATTTTTTTATGTAAGCACAGGAGGCACATGATCTCATTTGAAGCTCCAGACAAATCCTTTTTGGAATTGCACTACAAAATGCAATTGCTTTTCAGACTCCGTGTCACACTTGTAAACATATTTGCACTACCAACACGGCTTTGTTTTTTCACAATCCTTATTACTGATTTTTATTACCTACTACTGATTTATATTACTGATTTTTTTCATTATCCCTTCTAATGCCTTTTGCCCTATATTTATTTATTTTTCCACTGAACTGAACCTTTTAAAATCAATGCCTTTTGCACCATGACTTTAAACTGGTTTTCCTTTTCTACTACACTGGCTCCATTTTTTATAATTGCTGCACTTTATAAATGGTAACGTTCATTTCACTGCTGAAAAGCCTGCATGTTTGTCTAAGTCTAAGTCTCTAAAAATTAATGTAAAATGTCTTTTTCCATTAGCAAAGTGCCTCACTTACGGGCGCAATTCAAGAACAGATGCACAGTGAGGATCAAAGCCAGACATATCATTAATATTTTCTAGGTACGTACAAATTAAAGATGAATTTGGTACAACATCACACTAAGACTCATCGCTGCAGCCACTCTGCTTGGGGTAACTAAAACCTGCAACAGTTAGAGTGGACATTAGGTTAAGGACAGCCCCTGAAATATCCATACCTGCTCCAGCCATGGTACTATACAATCATTGTGAAACAAATGATTGCACGGTAGTTGCCTAACATTCTCATCAACACTGTAGTCTTCTTTGCAGACAGGACACTCTAAACCAGCACCTGGACAGATACAATGGGACAAAGCATATGTCTGTGTATGTTTGGAAAGAAGCAGCAAAGAGAAGCAGCTGTCCAACTAATTATCTGCTTTAAGCTTTGTTTAGGAAAAATAAAAAAGGAATTACAAAACCTGTTTTTATTGCTTAAAACAATACAGATAATATGTGAAAACAACTTACTGACGTGTTCTTGTGTAATGGAAATGGTTGGTAAACTCTTTATTCTTTCTCTGTCAGCTGGCGGCGGACCAGTGTTTTCAAACTGGTTCAATAACTTTAAAGCAGAAAAAAAGGACGCATTACAGTTAAAGACTGAAAGGAAAATTTGTATGAAAGTTTTGTTTCTTTTAATACCTGGAAACAAACCCTAAAAACAAATAACGCACTTCACTTTAACTGCTTTCAGGAGTCAGCTATTCAATCAGTAGCATAATAACCTGTTGAATTGTTTACTGAATATTTAAACCTCTAAACTGAAAATAATAGAGCTGCAGTCAAAGGATTTTTAAACCTGTGTAATGATAGCATCCAGTCCATTAGCTCCCCAGGCATAGTCCATCGGATTTGAATGTAGCATACCCCTGTAAAACATTACAGTCAAGCAAGAAAAGGAACAAGAGCTTAAACAGTACAATGATTTATTCTGTCAATTTCACAAGCATGTTTATCAAGTTGGTGAACTTACCAAGGTCCCATCCCAAGATTTGGCATGGCTGTAGGTGCTATGATTCCATTAACTAGCTGCTGGATGATTCTGCTCAAAAGAAAAATGGCAATAAGTTAATTTATTATCTCAGTCTTTATCAGCATGTTGATTCAGGGGGGCTTTATTTAAACATCCTGCTGACAACTAAACATCTGATGTATAATTATGTAGTGCAGTCTGGATGTTCCTTAAAGCTACACTTCATCTAAGTGATGCTATAATGAAAGTCAGTTTAATCTACACACCAATTTTCTTATTAATAATATTCCTAAACTTTTGCCCCAATGGTTGTTACAAACACAAAATTCTAATTTGTTTTGGAGGATTTTAAGAGATGGACCAGCAGGGGAAAAAATGCATAATTGTGAAGTGAAAGGAAGACAATGAATGGTTTTTCAAACCTTTTACAATTCAAAATTTCAAAATATAAGTGTGGATTTACACTAAGATCCCTTTATATGCAGAGCCATTTTATTAAGAATTATATGAACAAATGCAAAAATAAATGCTGCCATTGATATATTTTTAACAAATATATTATTTTATTTGAATTTATTTCAAGATGTATTTATTTACTTCCAGATCTATCTAGCTTTCCATCCATCCATTATATTTCCTGCTCATAGTTTTATAATAAGAAGATAAAATTAAAAAAAAGCTGAAAATGAAAAACAGGGTTAAAAAATAAATTCACTGTAATCTGAAAAGTAGCTTTACAAAATAAACGTGTCCAAATAAAACCCCATTATAAAATGCCTAAATAAATACATAAATAAATAAAAATAAATAAATACATAAATCTGGAAGTAAATAAATAATTTTTGAAATAATATATTTTTAATTTTAATTAATTTCTTTATTTGATCAGGGACCATACACAAAAAAAAACATTAGTCTTAGAAAGAAAAGCTGTCATGTGCCAGATTATAGCAAAATGCTAATTTCCACCAACAGTCCTTGGACAGTTTGATGTTATACTTAGAAAAATTCATAAATAATATATAGTATAATACATGTAAGCGTCACTTCATTCACATCATAAAAGCACTTTCCACTTTTACTCACTTACAGTTACAGCACTCATATTACAGTCATTCCATGCCTACATGTTTGCTTTGATAATAACCACTGTTTGGTCAGGTGTGTATATATACTATAGTTTGTGCATGAAATAATTTAGTTTGGAAGAGTGTTCCAAAGGCATGTTACTTTATAAGAGAATGATTCATAAATATAATATAAATAAGTTAAATATTTATGAAAATATTTAGCTTTACTTTATGGTGAGATTTATTTCATATAATATTTATTAATAACTAATAAATAGCAGAAATTATTTATTTATCCATTCATGTATTTATTTCATAATGAATGAAACATCTCTCCATAACTTTACCCCTAATTAAAATCCAATGCAACTATTTGCCTTCATGTTCATAAAACAATATAAACCACAATCTTTACATTGTGTGGTTCTATCACATAAATTCCCAAAATACAATGAAGCTTTTTGTTGCAAAAATATGGAAACACTCAAAAGATTTGAATACTATTTCAAGATAATGTAAGTGATAGAAAACGACTCTGGTCAAGAATGAAGCATTTTTATAGTTGAGGTTCGATCTAAGCTGTTATTTTTACACATAAAATGGTTGGATTTCTTTCTATAAGAGGAAAATTGTGAAATGACTACAGAGATGCTGTCCAAACATTTCGCCACATGAACAAAAATTATGATGTTCAAAGTATGATAGAGATTTCTTTAGTTAAACTGCCCCCGTTTTTTTAACCACCACAAAAATAAATCACATATCTCTCAGTGAAACAAACCAAGGTGTCAATTTTGCTGTTGAGCCAACGCATAAAAAAGGGTTTTTTCATACAATTTTTAAATACTTGAGGTAAGAGTGGTGAAATCTTTATTTTCCCATCTCTCCGCAGCAGTTGGCTCCCTCTTTCTATTTTAAACCTTTTCAACATTTAGCCAAGTTTTATAAATTAGGTTTAAGATCACCAAGTTCGGGTTTGACTACAAATGGCTGGATATAAGTGGTCCTGTTTCATATGAAATTAAAAAGAAAGTCAACTATAGGGTGGCTGTATTTTCAGGGTTATGTATAGTGGTAAAACATCATAAAACACTACATTTTATGCTCAAAATATAAATATGCTCCCCTCCCCCCACACACTCTACAATAGATGCTGCTCAAGGAGAAGTCTCACCCCTCCAATGTGGGCACTCCTTCGTGCCGCGACCCCTGTCTGCGAGGAACATGTCGACCCCGTGGCTGCCTGGCACTGTATCGCTGGCGCGAAGCCATTTCCCTTTCTCGTCTGTTCTCTACCTCACGGTTGTCCTCTGTGGATAATCTCGATCGAAGGTCAAAGTTTTCGTCGAAAATCCCCAGGGCAAATGGGCCGTATCCCGAGGGAAATGTGAACAAATGATGATGATCCATGTTCTATAATTAACAAAAAGGGTCAAACCAGTGTGCAACGACTTGTTCTCCTTGTAATGGCTTTACTGTGATGCACTGACCTCAAAGCTGGAGCGGTTCTGATCATTGGCAGAGGATGTGGATGCAGACCCATTTTCTGAGCTGCTAGAAAAAAACAACACACACACAAAAATACTAAGACTCAGGAATTTAGAGAATAAATAAATAAATAAAAATCTATCAAATAAATAAAAACACTTGCCTTGTTTCCTCCGTAAGTTCTTCAATAAACCCAGACTCACAGCGTGGGCATGTGTAGTCCTTAAAATCAGAATCAGAGATCAGAATTATTGCCAAGCATGTTTGCACAAGCTAGGAATGCATGTTGATCACCAATTTTCCAGCTCTTACACCTATCTCACAATAACAAAAATGAAAAGAAACATTGTGCATTAGATCAGTCTAACAGGCCCTAATCAGAAGACAGGAGAAGAGTTAGTCACACCGGTAATTAACAGGCTACGCAGGTATAACTAACCACCAGTAGAGTGGATGTAAGTTTAAGGGACAACAATGTCTTGGAAATAACGCTTTTTTTTTTTAATATGAAAAAACATTAAAATATAATCAAACAACATGTAAAATCTAATTCAAATACAGTTTCTATAAAAATAAGTTGTCATACCTCTTTACCCTGCCTACTTTGGCAGAAAAATTTTTGAAAACAAGGCAACATAGTAAAGTAGGTTTATAAAGATTTTTTTTTTTTTTTTTATTTTATTAATTCAATTATTAAAGGAAAACAACATGATAAAACCAGTTCAGGTGACACCTGAAGTCATGAATTAAAGAAAAGGAGCAGAAAGAAGTAAAGAATTTATAATATCTGACCCTATTTTCAATAAAGTAGTACTTTTTCAACTAATATTAAAAAAAAAAAGAAGAAAAAAAAAAACAGCAACAAGAAAACGCACCAATACACAGGAAACAGCAACAACAAAAAAATAAAAACACACTGTGATATCGACTTATCAAAATTACCTTCCAGTCTCTATTAAACATAGATGAAGTTTCAGCTTGCTTTAACTCCACTAATAAGCTTGTTCCACATATCGACACCTCTAATAGTAATACATGTTTCATCATCACTGTTCTGTACCTCGATTTTTTGAAACTTTCTATTCCGTTTAAGTTATACTTATTTTCTCTTTTAGATCTGTTTTGAAATTTTTTTGGTAGAATTTTTTTAAGTTTTAATTTATCCAACTTAATAAATATCTGATTTGTGTGATCTCTGTATCCACTTCCACTTATAACTCTTACAATAAAAAATGTGTTTTATCCTGGCATCACTAACATTAAGTTCAACAGAGAGTTTAATCCGTAGTTTAAAAACAAAACAGTCACCTCTTGCTGTCAACAAGGTAAATTCAAAGCAGTGCTTTAATCAATACTTTAATCCGCTCCACTTTGACCAGGCTGTTTATTACAGATATTGATGCAGGTCTGATGACTGAGTCAGGGATTCTGCATGCAGTTAAGTTTTCTAAGCAGTGATTTTCTATACACCACTGACATGGGCTTGCTCCAGAAAAATCTGCACTAAAATAAGATTCTTTTAACAACAGAAAACATTCATGTGAAAATGTATGTCACTATATGCAAACGTTCCCGTTTAAAACTTACAGGTACATTAAAAAAACTCTGCTTAAAAGTGCAAAATTTTTATTGTATTATATTATATTGAATCATAGCGTGATACATTCCCAGCCCTTGCTTCTTGTAATTTTGATGATTTAAGCTTACAGATTATGAAAACTGCAAATATTGTGTTTTGGATTGGACATTTTCACACGAGTATCTGTACTTTCTATTCCTTACATTTTTTAAACAAATGTTACTCGTTACTCTTGGCTTTGTTTTAATGTTTATAAATATTTATTTCACATCATGTGAGCCATCCAATGCAGATCATTGGTGCCATTCACATCTAGTGAAAACTAGTGTCATTGGATGAGTCATATAACGCAAACACTCATTGGTTAGCTAAAGGAAATCATCAGAAGCAAGCAGGTGTTCTTCAAACTGCAAACGCAAATAGTCTATGCCATGCTACAATGTCGAATTCAGAAAAAGATGTTGAAATGTCTGAAAGGTCGGACACAGACGAGAGCGTATCAGGAGAAGGAGACCAACAAGACCTCCCTCATCCTTGGTCCTATCTCAAATTTTTTTTCAAAATAGTCGAATAATTGAGCTTTCAATTCATATAGTGGCATCTGGGTGTTTTATTTAAAAGGTTACTTTATACTCTTATACTTTAAGTAGTTTTTGGAGCACATACTTTTTTCACTTTTACTTGAGTAAAGAAGTCAAGTTGATTTTTCAACTTTTACCAGAGTGTTTTTAAACCGCAGTATCTATACTTCTAAAGGTATGTACTTTTGACACCACTGCTCTTCCATAAAATTAAGATCTGTTGAGAGCACTTGTTCTCTTACCAACACTGCCCCCCCACCCAGTCAGTCATTTTTACAAAGAAGACTCTTAAAATTTCTGTAGTTGTGTCATGCTATTAATTCATTTTTTTAGATTAAGAGACTGAACAGTGCTACAGCTGATGTTTATAGTTTGTGTTTCTAGTTGTTATTATGACTTAACACTAGTTTAAACTAAAGCACTTGGCCTTCATTACACTGATTTGTCATCAATATTCTCTAAAAAAAAATCTTTGAAGGCTTTCACAGAGCAGCTATACTAATAGAAGGAACACATTACACAAAGATTAATTATTTCTGGTGACTTTAGGATTCCTTTAGCTAATCCCATTTTAGCTAATGAGTGGTGAAGACCCATAAACTGTTCATAAAGTAAGAGCAAAAACAAAAAAAAAACTAACCTTATAAGAAAAAAAAAAGAGTATATGTGTCATTCTCCATCACACGAAATTTCATTAAAATACAATCAAGATTTCTATTGTAATGTAGAAATTTAAAACAAGAAAGCAGGCGAAAACAACACATTGCAAGGGATATATATCATTTAGTAAGGCACTGTATGTTCTGAGCATAACTGAGCCATTTAATGTTCAGCCTGACAAAGAACAGAACAGTAGACTGAGTAGAAGGTAAAGGCCACTGTAACATTCAAGAAGCTTCTCATGAAAAGCTTCACAACAAACAGCTTTTACAGACTACTAGAACATGCAAACATACATTGCATATCTATCTATGTCTATACGCATATATATTCTATCTATCTATATTATTTCTATAGATATAGATATAATATAGATAGATGAATATAGAAGTATAAACAGGGACATGCAAATCAAAACAAATGGATCATATATGTCAGTTAGCTAGCCGGTGTTACACTATTATTAAACCTGTCAGGTAGTAACCTTCTTTATTTAGCTTCTTCTTTGTTCGACTTTACTGATTTGAAAAAATACACAAAGTGTACTCAGTTGTAGCTGGAGTCCATCCCTAAAGTTTGTTACTGACACTGACTGGCACTCTGCTGCTGCCCTGAAGGGTTAGCTGAGCCGATAGGGGGTTTTAACCGCAGCAGCGACTCAACGAGGCTCTATGAGACCCATATCTATGGTCACAGCAGCTCAATTATGGTTCCCAGCCCTCAGCACAGGCTATAAATGTGTCAGTATTTCTTACCGGTAAACGGGGAGAGATCTCTGCTGAACACCGGTGACAAAAAAACCGGCTGGACCGTGGAGGGGCTTCGGCCATTTCTAGTACTGAACGTTATTGTACGGACGGGTAGCAGCGAGGGACATTAGAACTTGACTTTTGCTTTAGTGGCAGGAAAAGGAATCAGCACCAAAGAGTAAAGTGTGTAAAGCTAACCAGAAATAAACAAAAGAACTTCCGGGTCAGAAAGAAAGGA